TGAATTTTTATTAGATAATGTTATATAGGTACCAACAATTATTAATTAATTTTATTTAAAATTAGAAACTACCACTATGGCAATCAAACACACTAACAGCACGGATCTAATGGTAAAACGTTAAATTTGTAAATATGACAAGAAAAGTTCAAAATAATTATAACTCAAAATGTTAAACGGACATATACCATAAGGAAATATATGGCTGCACGAATCTAATAATCACATAATGCTTTTTTAACTTTTTGCACTTTGACCATTGTTCCTTTTCGAATCGCCGTAAGCCAAAATAACAGCAGAGCGACATCCACTTACCAACCTTTTTAAGGAATACAATTTATTGTAGAAAATATTATTGTATTATAGTGTAATCTAATAAAACGAACCATGGGACGCCATCTGCCGATTATTTCCTTATTATTCTAGACCATTACATGATAAAAACAAAAAATATAATCATATTTAAAAACGGCACACCCGCCCGTACCTATTCAGTACGAAAAAATAGTCCCCTGGGCTGTTCGGTCGCATATTACTATGTCCCCAAAAGCTTAATAGCTCCTAGACTTATTTTCATCTTATAGAGAATTTTCCTGGCTTTCCGAATATATAGGTTTAATGCTGCGCCACCTTCCGGAACTTGGTCGGAAAAATGAAAAACTGCGCATGGGTACCTGCACGCGGCGGTACGAAAAAATAGTCCCCTGGGCTGTTCGGTCGCATATTACTATGTCCCCGAAAGCTTTGTAGCTCCTAGACTTATTTTCATCTTATAGAGAATTTTCCTGGCTTTCCGAATATATAGGTTTAATGCTGCGCCACCTTCCGGAACTTGGTCGGAAAAATGAAAAACTGCGCATGGGTACCTGCACGCGGCGGTACGAAAAAATAGTCCCTTGGGCTGTTCGGTCGCATATTACTATGTCCCCGAAAGCTTTGTAGCTCCTAGACTTATTTTCATCTTATAGATAATTTTCCTGGCTTTCCGAATATATAGGTTTAATGCTGCGCCACCTTCCGGAACTTGGTCGGAAAAATGAAAAACTGCGCATGGGTACCTGCACGCGGCGGTACGAAAAAATAGTCCCCTGGGCTGGTCGGTCGCATTAATATACGGGCATATAATGATGTAAGTGAATTTCATGACGCCATCTTGTGGTTGACGGTAATACAAATGTTGAGTGCCTTGAATATAATAAAACGCAACCGGGCATACAAGGCCTGTTATCACTAGTCGTCCGAGAAAATAGTCCCCTAGCTATAGTCCCCCAACTTCACACCCGTCTACAAAGACATTCAACACTATAGAAACTATTCACTAGTCGACGTACAGTTCGCTACTAAAAATATTGTCTTATTGATGCGAGTATATCCTATACATTCGCAATGTGTCTGTCTCACTCAATGTGTGTAATCATAATAATAAGTGACAACTAATATAACAATATATAAGTATATACGTATATCCCCGTATGGAGTATGTACGTATTTTTATTAGGCTTGATCCATAGCTTAGATAGATAGCCGATACCAGAGTGTAATCATTAACCGATAAGCGCAAAATGTGATTCTAGCTTCACTCTATCTTTATAAAATGGAACGTAATACTACATCAAAAATATTTGTTAAAATATTGGAGGATAATAGACATAATTTTAGTCGAAAATAATATGGAGGAAAATGGAAACCAACCTTTTTTTTTTTTTGTGGAGGAAAACGGTATCTCGTTTTTGGAGGAAAATGGCACTACGCGAACGCAAGTACCTACATACCCTGTTGCAAATTTTGAAATATATTTTGTCGAATAATTTTTGAATATTAAGTATAACCTAATAGCTATATTCATAGATCGCACTAAGTGGATAATTTAGTGTGAACTTAGTTAAAATCATAATTTTGATATTCATAAACAAACCTAAGTAAATCTTAAGTAAATTGTTAGTAAAATCTGAAAGTTAGTAAGTAGGTAGTAAATTAGTATTCATAAATATGAATTAACTGTTAAGTTAGAAAATTCTCTGGGAATAATTGGCAAAAGGTTAGCAAGCTCTGGTGTTCACTTAAGCCACCTTATCATTTGAATTTTGCATTTATTTTGCAAAAATTTGATTGATATAAGAAAAGTCTATTTTTATCTTGAAGATTAATTTATAATTCATTTAAATTTACTTGAAAGCAAAATGGATGATTTTGTGGATTTTGATGACAATTATGGCTATATAAACGAACCAATTCAAATTAGAGTTAGGAAAGTATATAAAAGAAATAAGTCAGACCCTTTGGACGTTTATTCGAACTACGAGTATTTTAGAAGATTTCGGTTCACTAAGGAATTTTTTTCAAATATTTTAATATGCCCATGATATTTCCTGAAGATGACCAAAATGTTAACACAGATATGAGAGGATTACCCATAACTAATTCATGGAAACTTCTTACGGCATTAAGATTTTATGGGACAGGATGCTACCAAGTAATTATATAAATACAATTTAAACACTTAAATTTAATTAACACAATTGCATTATTATTTAACTTAATTGGTAAATAGTGATATGTTTGAATTTAGCCAACCGTCAGTCAGTCGTATAGTTAAAGATATTTCCTTGAGAATAGCTAAGAATCTAAGAACATGGGTTCAATTTCCTCAAGCTGATCAACTAGAAATAATTAAAAGGAAATTTTATGAAGTAGCTCGATTTTCCGGTGTTACCATGGCTATGGACCGTACCCATATACCAATTAGCAGTTCAGGTGATAAAATGCGGAAGTTTTCCGTAACAGAAAAGGATGGATGTTCTTTAATGTTCAGTTAATAGTGGGGCCTGATATGGAAATTTATGATGTAGTTGCCAGATAGTACTGATCTGTGCACGATTCAAGAATCTTTCAGAATAATAGAGCTCTAGAATTGATAGAAAACAGGTAAATTAATAAATAAATAAAATTATATGTAATATGATAAATTGTAAATTATAATATTAAATTTGGAGGTTTTTATAATCAATTATTTTAAACTTAAAAATAAAAATTTTAGAACTGTACAAGGTATATGTGTAGCTGATGGTGATTATGCACAGACACAGTTTATCTATACTCCGCATTCCAATCCTATAACAAATGCACAAAAGAGATTCAATTATGCTCACATTAGAACAAGGAATGTGGTTGAACGTGTCAATGGGTTATTAAAAAGTCGATTTCGTTGCCTCAGTCGTAAATTAGGAACTGTGACTACAACATCGAGTAATATCATAGTTGCATGTGTAATATTACACAATATTTGTGTAATACCTTGTAAAACCTTAAGTGCAATTCGACCCAAATAGCTGCTTAAAAATTATAATTATATATTATTAAAACAAATTACTGACAGTTATTTAAATTCTTTATACAAAATAAAAATCATTTCACATACACTGGTAACAATTTTATTTACAAATTCTCGCCCATTATCAGAATGTAGTATACTAGGAGCTCCAAAGAGAGTGAATATATCTAGAAGTTGATATGCAATTTCTTCTGCACGTTTACACTGTATAATCACAAATTTTGTCAGGTGATCTTGATACACCATAATGTATTTAAAACCATTATCTGGGTTAGGTCTGGCAGCTTAAATGTTATGTGTCGTGTATTGATCAGCTTTTACTAAGTAAATTTGTACATCCTAGGATGTACACAACGTGTTTAGCAAAAGCCCCAATAAAATTTAGAATTTCAGCATTTACTGAGTACAAACAGTAAAACCTAGCATTAACTAGTAAAACCTAGGTTTACCTAGTGATCGGGCATTTACGGTAGCATATAGATTAAGTAATGGAACGATTACGCTGATGCAACGTCGTTCAATTACAGCGATAATATATAGGCATAATACCTTTACTATTACGATTATTTCGTATTAGATATCTGCTGGTTTTTGGGTTTTTCGTTGATTTATACTGTAAGATATAGTTTTATTGAACTAATGGCCGAACGAAAAAAATGGTCATATGTTTTCCGACTATGTATTAAAAACATATATTGAACCAGAATGTCCATTTCCTCCAGAAATGTGGGCTCAAGAACCAAACACGAATCCTCGGTGAGCAATTTATACAAAGTAATATATTTTTAATATTCTTAATTGTTTATTTATAATTTTTAGTAAGGTCAGTTGGGGTAACTGCGACGTGGCATTGTAAAGTTCATCTTAGGCAACTTATTTTCACTGTAATATTTAATCAAAGAATACAATGATGATTTCAATTTATTCAGAATATTGTAAAGATTATAAATTTGATGTTAAAATTTAATTTCCAACAGTTTTTATATATTTTTATTTTAAATTTTGAAGTGTCGCACTTACCCCAAGCAGTGGGGTAAGTGCGTTTTCGGTGTCTGAAAAATAGTAAAAATGCTTTAATTGTATCATAGGGGAAGTGCATACAATTACATACAATCACCTAAAGTTCAGTGTTTTCAGAGTGAAAAAAATCTGAATGGTAAAAAAATGACAGAACATTAAAGATCTTTTTAAATTTGTGTATTAATTAGAGTAATTAGACTATCATTAATTACATACAAACACTTTCAAGTTATATGGAATTTATTTAAATACTTACATTAAACTTGATTTGTATAAGTAAATAAGCAATACAACAATATAAAACTCTTTCATTTTTATTTAAATAACCAATCAACAAAGTTATAGTTAGATTATAACAAAACTTTACCAAATTTACCAAATATTTATTACCAATATTTATCAACATAACAGTTAAACAAGTAGTACTTAATTAAAAAAAGTATTTATAGATTAAAATATAAAACCTTTTGTAATCAGACTTTGAGTTACTTTTTCAAGATACTTACATACATAAATAATAATTATAGGTAACCACCAACTTCATTTTTCAGACTTAGTTACTTAACACTAATTAACTTAATATTAACAACATAACAGTAAAACATAACGATTAAGTAAGTAATTATTCAAAATTTAATCAGTCTTTAAGTTACTTTTTCAGATTATATTGACTGAAAGTGATTCCAAAAACGAGTTGACCCCTTCTTCCAATCGTTGGTTTTGGTAAACTACATATAATATCAGATTCTGAAACTTCATCTATATCATCGGCAATAGGATATACAAAAGTAGTAGAATGTTTATTCTCAGTCTTCAGTTTGACAAATTTTATTTTATGCATACCATCAAAGACTTCTTTTATAATACCTACATAATATAATGATTTTGCAGATTTACCTTCAAGCTTATATTTAATTTAAACCCAATCATCAACACAATTTTTTGTGCGAAACATATATCCTTCTTCTGCTAAATCCTCTTTTTCTCTTTCCAATTCATTTAATAAATCACTGATTTCAGACACTCCACTGACAAAACTTATATTTAAGTTTTCATTAGGTTGATTCAAATTTATGTCTATAATGTCTTGAATCTTTTCTTCATTTACAACTTCTTCATTGACAACTTCTTCAGACTGTTTTTTTTTTCTTGTTGTTTTTTGGTTTGCCCTTTTCTTGTTCTTTTGCTTTTAAAATATTTATAACTTCTTCTGAAGTAATAACTGTAGCTCCACTAGTTACTTGCTTTCTGGTAGTTTTCTCTACGGCAACTTGCTTCATAGAAATCAATAATAGCTCTTCAAACGATTTACTATTATTTAATATTTCTGTTTCTGCATTTTTTTCAGTTGACGTTGAAGCTTGATTTGAGTTGAAATTGTTATTGCTGGCAATACATGTTGATGTTGAAGCTTCATTATAGATGACTAAGTCATTATAAATTTCGGTTGTTGAAGTTTGATCATCAGTAGTTTGGTTATTTTCTTGGGTGTTACTAACTTCCCACCTACTTAGACTTATAGGGTCAAATTTAGATTTATTAACTGCATTTCGGTTAAAGGGATAAATCCCTGCTTTTCTAAACCCATTTTCTATTATTTTTGTGTCTAATTGTGCCCAATTACTGCATATAATTCTCGAGAGATCTTGTTTGGGAAGCTTTTGACCTTGATGACTTCGGTTCCATGAACATAATCGTTGGTCCCATACTGTTTTAATTGATTTAAAAACTGATAGGTCCATTGGTTGTAACAAGTGACTTGAATGTGGTGGCAACAATATAATTGTAACATTGTTGTTTCTAGCAATTTCAACTAATTTTAAATCTACATGAGATGAGTGTCCGTCATATATGAGTAGAATAGGGTTAGCAGGTGATGGATTAGTTGTCTTTAAAAAGCTTTTTTCAAAATAATTTACAAATACCTCTCGTTCCATCCACCCATTGGATGTGGCAGCATATGTAGTGTCTGAGAATTCAGACTATTGTGTAATCCACCTGTCCCAAATATTTTTGCCTTTAAATATTATCAAAGGGGGCCCTTTTTTACCATCTGCGCTACAAGCCATTAAAACAGATGTATTGTCACGCCCAGAGCCATGAGTTGTTCGGGTACTAGGTTGACCAATCGGTCCCACTGTTTTGGTTTTAGATGGGTCTAAACAAAACGATGTCTCATCAAGATTCCAGATTCGATCTGGTCTATTCACTATACCAAGATCAGTCATTGTTTCCCATAACAAATAAAAATAATTGTAAATTATGAATGGATCACAAGCTTTTTTTCGAGCATTTTCTACAACTTGGGGTTTTTTTAATGATAATTTGTGTCGAGAAGAAAACCCTATCCACCAATCATGACCTGGATATCCACCTTTAAATGGAGTAACTAAGTTATTATCATTGACATAATAATTACCAACTAATGTCAAAACTTCGGTTCGACTTAATCCATGGCCATACTTTTCCATGATGGTTAATGATTGAGCCAAACTTTTTTCAATAGCAGGTGATAAGGCGGTATTTCTACCCTTAGTTGTAGACTTCATTCCACGTCGTTCATTTATATGATCGTAAAGCGTCGTTCTTGGTATCCGGTATAATCTGGCAGAAAAGCTGACGGTCATTTGTTTGCTTGTGACTGCATTTGTAACTTGTAACAGTTGTTCTTTGGTATATGCATCACCCTTTTTGGTTTTTCTAACGTAAGATCTAACCATTTTACCCTAAAAAATATTCAAAATTTAAATTACATTTAATAATAAATGTTTAAATATTACAATGGGTAAGTGCGACATGTCATGTTGCACTTACCCGCTGACAATTGTCGCACTTAAGTAAAATTCATTGACAACTATACAAATTTTAACACTTAAATCATAATCTACACATAAAATGATATAACTTACCTTAGTTTAAGACAGCAAATTTTTACAAAAACTGCCTTAAAAAAAATGGCAAACGAACGTCTTCTTTGAAAAATACAAGTGAAATTTATATTCCGAAAGTAAAGTTTGATAACATGATAACGAAATATAATATAGTGTGACCAATTATGTACATATATTACATGGACGTTGTACAACAATGTCATTATTGACAGTCTTTCATAAACTTAATATATACTCCGTAATATCTGGATTCGCACTTACCCCAACTGACCTTACCACAAATGGACCTGAAAGCTTTCATAGGACTTATAACGGATAATTTCACAGTGCTCATCCTCCAACACATGTTGTTATTCAAATATTGAAAGAAACCCAAATGCAAACCAGATCGATAATACAATCAGTTAATAATGGGAGAGTAAAGAAAATTTCAAAAAAAGACTTGAACAGGATTCAAAATACAATAAAGGATTATGATGAGTACAAAATTCATAAAAATGTTATTCAGTATTTAAAAGTAGTAGGTTATAGATGTCAAGGTATTCAAATTTAAAGATATTTAAACAATTTATTTACGATAATTTATTCGATATTTATTATATTATATTATATTATTGTTTATTTTATATACGATGAAATTAGTAAATTTGACAACGTTGCATACAATTTCATACGCAATCGTGTTTATTTTTTTTTTCAGAAAGGTACTTTTAACCCATCTACAAACATAAGCAAACGTGTTGTCAAAAAGGTCGAACGTACGCAATCGTGTTTTACTCGTTATCATGAATATTGTTGGTATAAAACGTGCCGTAAATAAACGTTCGTGTGTTGGTATGAATTAAAACGTAAATTTTGTTTACGCGATAAAATAACGCCCGTGTGTTCCCAGCCTTAATGTTAGTTTCCCATTATCAAATATGGAATATTAATTAGTTATTATTCTCTGAACATCACCAAAAACATATGTTTTGCCATCTTGTTGGCCAACAGTTATGCCTAGTGACATGCATGACAAAATAAATTTGTCATGGTGACATGGATAAGCTAAGCAATTCATTATCGAAACTCAATTTTTAATAAACTGAAATAAAAACTACCTATTAATAACTAAACTTATTTTAAGGTCTTGAACTTATTAATCCTACTGGCTAGTGGCTTCTAAAATACTAAAAACTTTAAACTAATAAATAAAAAAAAAAGGTAAATTATATCTTCAAGTTTATAGTCATAATTCATATTTACCATACCTATGGTACCAATACCGGCTATACCATTAACAATATTTACATAATTTAAATAATTAATTTGTATACCATGGAACAATATTGTATACCTTGATTAAACCACTATAAGTATAAGTACAGCAAAATAAAATAATTTCTAATCTGGGTTAAATAAATAATCATAATATAACCTACATTACATAGTTTTACGAAATTAATTTAACAATTACCTGAAAATAAGTGCATAAAAATGTTGTCATTTTACGGGACAATTAATAATTATTTTATTATATTATAATAAATTTAGAGTTAATAAGATAATATAAAATCTACAACACTAATGAATGTTACAAAAATAAATAATTACTTCTTCTTAAAATGTTTTTAGATTATCTTAGTCTTACTTGTTAAAACCCATTGACGTGGAAACGAAATAAATTATATGAATAAAAAGTAAAGAAGTTTAACTAATTATACATAGATTTAAATAAAAGAAAATTTAAGGATTGTCTTAATGTGATATATTTATAATTTTAAACTATTAACTAGGTATATTAAAACAAAAGTATATTTTATACTTTAGTTTTAATCGTAATTAAATAAACAATTCATGTATTCAAATACTAAATAGTATGTATATTGTATATTAATATTATAGACGTACAAACTTTTTCATGTAAATTGATAAAACAAATATATAATATATATACATCATTATTTTATTTTTATTGGTTTTTATGATATTTTAATTTTATAGTAATATTAGTGCAAGCAAGTTATAAGATTAAAAATAATTCCTATGGACAGTGAAAAAGAAGGAGTGAATTGTTTGTGGCAGTGTAATGTTTGGTTTTTTTTATACATTTTAATTTTAGAAAATATTTTGGTTTTAATAAATGACATTTAAACAATTTTACATTTTTAAATCAAGAAAATGGTTTTCTTAATCATATTATAATTGTACTTATTTTAACTAAAATTCCAAAAAATCGCTTGGGAGCTAAACTTAATTTATGCCAAACAATATAATATATTAATATTGCATTTCAAATTAGAATACAAGTATAGAAAGTACACGTTTTCTAATAACTGCAATTTTGAATTGTAAAGCTAACCTGTTGATATCTAATAGCTTTATTTATATCCTATTGTAGTACGCTTATTATTTCCAAATAATAATTTATGCTTCATTTTTGGTTCTGATGATTCTTCGAACATCCTCTAAACAGTCTAAACCCATGTCTAATAGTGTGGAGATCCCAGGGAAGTTATTTCTATTTGTAGACTCGTTGGCAGCTAAAGCACGAAGACTATAAACAATTTTATTCAACCAATTATTTTTGTTGAACCTACTATATTCTACAATCACCTTTTATATCACATAACATCAATACATTTAATTTAAATAATTAAATCATTCCACTGGCGAAGGGTTAATAAACAAAAATTGATTGTTGTCGGTAGAAATGAAGTTTATTTATAGTTTAGAAATACATTTAAGAGGAACCATTCAAAATAAAATAATTATTAATAATTAAAAATTAAATGTAAAAAACAGATGTTTATTTAAACTGCAGGGACTGGAACTTTTATTATTTGATCGGTTTGGGTCAAGGTTTTGGTTTACAAAAATCTGAAATTTTGGTTTCGGTTAATATCGATTTTAACCCTTTTTATTTGACTTTTAATTTTAATTTAATTTGTATCAATAAAGTACTGTATAATTAATCAACATATTAAGAACCTATATTTAGTGACAGGCATTTGTAATTAAGTGTCCTGTGTCCTTATTTCAGATTTTAGGTGATATAATATTATTACGATATAATATACAGTGGATTCCGCTTAATGTGGGCACGTTGGGACCAGCTCTGTTTGCCCACATTAAGCGGTTGCCCATAAAAACCGAAATTAGTTAAAAAAAAAAAAAATTATAATACAAAAAAGTTTTTATTTTTATTATCATATAACTGAAAAAAAGTAAAATAATTACTATATAAATTAAATTTCCAGGGAGCATTTTCATCAATGTTTTCAAATTCGTTATGGTTTTGAACAAACAAAAATTGTTCATCCAACTCAGGTTGTGGACCAATCAAATTAGAAAATCCACAATAAGCGGAACAATTCATAATAGTTGAGCAGCTAACTTCTCGCCAACTCTCGGATACAAACTGTATCGCTTGCAATACGTTTATTTTGCCACTAATTTGATTAGCAGTTGCAGATGGATCAAACAGGTTTTCCTCAATCTTATCTAGAATAAAATGAACTAGTTTCATTCTGTATCTCACCTTGAGGTTTTTGATAATATCCATATCTAAGGGTTGGATAAATGGCATAATGATTTTTATTACTTTCGATAAACACAATCTCATAGATATGACGAAATCCGATTAAATTAGTCGTTTTTAAATACATATGTGTATATTCTAACGCTATGATAAAATAAAATTGCCCGCATAAACCGAATCGAGTGGCCATATTACGCGGTTAGATTTAACATTGTTAATATACATTTGTATTGGGACCAGACCAGTTTGCCCACAATTAGCGGATGCCCATATTAACCGGTGCCACAATAAACGGATTCCACTGTATTAGCACTATAACTATAAAAAATATACCATTATATTCAATAATTTACTGACTGTTTATGGAAGTTTCACTACCTATCTCAATATCACATCAAAATATAGGTTTCGGTTTCGATTTCTAAAGAAATGTATTTATGGGTTCCGGTCCAGTTTCGGTCAAAACCGGTCTATTTCGGTGCTGTTCCAGTAATCCATTCCCGATTTAAACTTTTAAAGATTAAATAAATAATTTATAGTTTCTATATTAAAATAATAAGATTAATCAAATCATAATTTATTTCAAAATTAATTATAAAATGTATTTGATAATCTAAGAATATAATTTGCTATGAAATATAAATTGTAATTAAAAATGTATTTTAAATTTAAATTATTTCTAGTCACTATTTGTATGTGGTCATATTATGGTACATCATAATTGGTAGTAAAATATTAGTTTGGTAATTTTGGTCTAAAATAATTCTTGTATTATGTATTTTTAAATGTTTTCTGACCTTCTAGCCTATTTTTTTAATTAATCCATTTTAAAATGATTGTTAATTTGAATAAAAATTAACCCTTGTTAAATTTCCCATGATTTAAGTTACTGCAAGGTTCTATACGATAATAATACATTGATACGGTACTATACAAAAAAAAATAACGTGCTTAACATCCCTATTCTAAGTGTACAAATGTACAATGAAAAATAAAATATAAAAATATATTACGTACAATTCGATACTATTTTGGTCCACATCGTCGTTATTTTGACCTTAATTTAGAATAGTCAACCTATCGGTGTTCTCCTTCAAAATAATATAAATAATAAAAAAAAAAATTAAAAATTAAATTGGTAATGATAAACAAACATTTAAATAAGTAATAAGTATATTCACTTACTGTGTTTCGTATGCGATGTGTTTGTCAATTTATAAGTGATGAAACATGTCCCCTATTTTTTCCCCTTTGGTTAGATTTGATTTTTATTTCCCATTTTACCCAAATTGTTATAATTTATAAATTA